CGGGGTGTATTTCCTCTTGCTAGCAATCAAGGAATTGCTCTTTGACACCGTCACTGTCTGCAATTATTCCTTCGCATCTTAGGTGATATGTGACTTACTTGGTTCGAACTCTTAAAACGTGGACCTTGTCTGATCAGTATTCAAAGCCTGGAATTTGTCCGAACGTTTGTTCCATCTGTGAACTATCGAAGATGGGTATGTTGTTATTTCGACATCGATCTTTCTCCGCGTACGTTCGTATGTTCGAACTGGTACTACCTGACGTCAGGTTGATAACTAAACACCTTTCGTATAGCGTCTCAGATTTCCTGTTCGAACAACTTTCCTATCCGCAAAGGTGGATCACGAGTTCCCAATACTATGCGTATGATTTCTCTTTTATCTTCTACTGGCTCGCCTCAATCGTGCATGCTCTCCGCTGCCAACTCACAAAACCGACATCACACGTTCGAGCAGAAAAAATGGACGACTGGGAAACAACACGATACGTTCAAGTAATTATTCGTTCCACTTCGCGGTTTACACAGCCGGCGACATGAAATTGACAAATGTCCAGGCACACATTATAATGCAAGGGAGGAATCAATTTCTTACCTTCAAGCAGAAATCCCAATAGATTTACACTAACAAATAGTAAACGAAACACAACAGCTGTCATGACAGATTACACTCAGAACGACCGCAGACATGTTACGGCGCCAGCTTACTTCGCCAAGTTGTAATGTAACAAATTTCACTCCAAACAACATGTGCTGATTCACACATCATTTCCACGCGCTGTCCCATGCTCACTGGTTCCGGGTCCAAAACGAGAATGCCCACAAAACCTTTCTCCTCGCGATATAATAAGCCCTTATGATCTATATCTGTTCTAGAATATTCTGGAATTCATTCACACGCATTTCCCACCTGTTGAAAGTCGTGTCTGGCCCGTGATAATCACACATTTCACCACATAATCTTGTGAGCAAGCATTGTTTCACCTAAAACCTGACTTTCAGATGAAACTCAAGACATAAATCTCGTGTTATCTCAGCCAGTCAAAACATTCGTCTTACATCTATTACTGACGTCATCTATCGGCATAAATTAATGAGGAGAAAATGACTCACTACAGTAATGTATATATACCCCTAACAATAAAATACCTAAATACAAAAGCAGTTAGATTTCAAAAATGAAAATTTAAAATTGCGCGTACACAATTTTATACATACACACACCACATGCAGAAATATAGACAGGCACAGTTGTGTACATAAATTCACTACAGATGGGCGATCATGCCTCTCCACAATCCGCGATATCCTGCAGCATGTATCAGTTCGTGTGCTGACACACCTCTATGCCATGCAACAAAACTGTCAAGAATCTTCTCTCGTTGTCTTCCTTCACAGATCTTTCCAGTGGTTACAACATGTTCCATTTTCCCTCTTCTCATAACATGGCCGCAAAATGATGGCTGCCTCTTTCTGACGTCTGGGTAAGTTGTCTTCGGGCTCCCGCCTCTTTCGAAAGCTCTTGGTTGCTCTTATTGACTGTCCAAAAAATGGTTTGGCCTGCCTACCGATTGTCCAGGATATTTATATATAAAACATTGTCGCATAGACAATAAAAACATTGAAGCACAGAGAGAAAGAAAGAGAGAGAAATTGACAGGTAGATAGAAAGAGACAGATAGACAGACAGACAGACCGACCGACCGACGGACGGACCTACGGACAGACAGAGATAGATAGATAGATAGATAGATAGATAGATAGATAGATAGATAGATAGATAGATAGATAGATAGATATAGATAGATAGATAGATAGATAGATAGATAGATAGATATATAGATAGATAGATAGATAGATAGATAGATAGATAGATAGATAGATAGATATAGATAGATAATAGATAGATAGATAGATAGATAGATAGATAGATAGATAGATAGATAGATAAATAGATAGATAGATAGATAGATAAATAGATAGATAGATAGATGGATTAGATAGATAGATAGATAGATTAGATAGATAGATAGATAGATAGATAGTAGATAGATAGATAGAGATAGATAGATAGATAGATAGATAGATAGATAGACATAGACAGACAGACAGATAGATAGATAGAGACAGATAGACAGACAGACAGACAGACAGACAGACAGACAGACAGACAGACAGACAGACAGACAGACAGACAGACAGACAGACAGACAGACAGACAGACAGACAGACAGACAGACAGACAGACAGACAGAGATAGATAGATAGATAGATAGATAGATAGATAGATAGATAGATAGATAGATAGATAGATAGATAGATAGATAGATAGATAGATAGATAGATAGATAGATAGATAGATAGATAGATAGATAGATAGATAGATAGATAGATAGATAGATAGATAGATAGATAGATAGATAGATAGATAGATAGATAGATAGATAGATAGATAGATAGATAGTGTGCAGGCAAGTTGAGGGTGGGACATGGGGGATTTTAATGTTTTTTTTTCCCCAAAATTCCTCGGCTCGTGCTGAACATATTCCTACAAACTGCACACAAACAGCAACATAGATAAATGGTCATGCCACCGTGTGGGTTCCGGGGTCTCATTATGGGTTGGGGGAACAAAAACAGACCCACTGCCTCCCCGACAAGCATGTCGTAAATGTCGACTAGTTATGGGCTTCCTTCAAAGTCGGAGTGCATCTTTATTAGAGGAAAGGAACTAACAATCGGCATACAATTAAGTCTGATCTGTAAAACGGATGTGCACGCAACACTCAAGTTCTCGAACCAGAATAAACTTCGGAGGCGAATAAAGAACCAGAACTTTTTGCTGGAGTCTACAGCCGTTGAATGCGAAGAAGAATGGATATGCACACGTCGGAGTGGTGAACTGGTTAAGTGTTTGCATCCCACCTAAAGGTCGTGGGCTCAGATTTCGGATCTCGCGCCTAGAATCTGTTGTTGTTGTTGTTGATGATGCCGGACTTTCTGAGCAAAGTGATTGGCAGTTGTTACAATCGCCTGTAAATACATAGATGGACACCCCCATAGACTCTGCATACAGATAGATGCACACAAACACCAAGAACAGACGCATGAAACTCTACCCTCCCCTCCACCACTCCCTCTCTTTTTTTTCATGGTTGCGTTTTACACGACTAACACTCAGTCTCTCCAAGAGCCACTGTTGCATGAGAATCCAGCAAGAGGTAATCCCGAAAGCCCTAAAGCCTTATACACAGTTTTACTGGAACTTCCATCGATTGGAAAGCAACCAGTAATTCTATTTCGGTGCAGTATTCCTAATTTCTAATGGGAAACATGTAGGTGCCCGTGGTTTAGACGTTGCGAATGAGCTTCATAATGCCGGGGTGTCGGGTTCGATCCCAGATGCGGACGGCTGGTATTGCGTTGGTTTCGACAGTGGTACCGAGAACTAACCTTGAGAAAGCAATGGCAAACTACTTAACGTAAATTTTCCTTGAAAAACCACACCAGGCAGAAAAATTCTGGGATCGGATCTGCAACATCCTGTAAATGATGCGCAACTAACTTTCTAATGGGAAACAGACATACGCTAGGCAGGTCATCTATAGGTCATCTATAGGTCATCACTCTTTGCATCTCTAGGATTGCTAGCATTGGATTATTTCCCCGAGGATGAGAGTGAGACCCAGGCAAATCGCAGAATCCCATTCAATTTTAAGGACCCCCCCCCCCCCCCCCCCCCGAAAAAAGTCGTCACTTTCAACCAGTATAATCGAAGGGGGAGCTTTTGGTTATAATTGTGACACGGTAATTTGCGAAATTTAAAATGAAAAAGACACTTATAGTGCTGACGCAATCAAAAGAGACAGACGATGTTGTTTTGCAACATGGTACAGCTTCCTTTTACTCATAACGTTACACATAAATAATGACCGTCTGTATGAAGTATACATACAACAAAACACAGACATACACACATACAAGCAGCATATAATTACAAGCCATTCGGGCAGATCTTGCTGGACATATTCGCCATCGCCAGGCTCCGTGAGACCCATGCCTCCTCATAACACAACATAGCACTATTGCCTGGTTATCAGTGGCGTGAAACCACACCAGGACTCCACAACGAGCGACTAATACCCGGTAATACAAAGTGCCACCATTCGGATGAGAATCCCCCGGTCGCAGGTCCCAGAAACCCCGTTCAACCGCTAAGTTATGTTAGGGCCCCCTACGACTACCGGGGTATGGCTTTAAAAAAAACCCACACACATTGCATCCCATATTGTGACAGAGTTAACTTAGCACTATTGCCTGGACAGACGGAAAGACGCAACTATAATGCAGTCATAATTACAATACCTCTATTTTAAAATGTACATAAAAGTATATAATAATAGCTAAAATACTCAGAATCACTTGAGGCATACCGAGGGGCACTTGCTTTTGATGGGGCTCTTAACGTACAATAAACGATGTATGACTTACGTCTTTAGGGCATCTCCTCTTGCATGCTTATCTGTTATTATTAAGCGGTCTCTTGACCCACATTATTTTACAACACTATGCCTAATTTTAAAGATGTCTCAGCTCTCCAGGTGTGAATTAAGTGCTACCCAACGGTATTTAACAATAACAACAATATAAACTAATGCGTTACCTTTGTGTTTACAACGTTGCTGATATTGCAAACGTTTGTGCAATACTTGTACTTTAGAATCAGAAACACCGAATAAATAGTGCCTCATTTTGTGTCAGCTTCTTGATTATACATACTGTTCTACCGTCTCTTTGTGTATAGGATATTTGTTTGCATTATTGGAAAACAAACATTTTCCTATTTCCTAGAGATATCTGGAAACAGTAGGAATATTTGCATTCTATCATTTTTATTATTTCCGAACGGTCTGCTTATTGTTCGCTCCCCTTGCTTCTGACTGTAAACCGGAGTAGTTCTATTTGTTGTGACAGTATTAAATAAAACACAGGAAGCCCACAATGGTATGTAAATAATAAAAACAACAACTGTATATTATTATGTATATTATCTATTGGGATAAGATTCTGACAGGACCAGACATTTGGCTCTTAGTCTACTCTACCTTACATGGTTATCAAGTAAAGTCCTGGGAAATAAAGGTGGTCGGTGTGATTTCGACCACATCACACACCCAATGCCGAATAGTCAATAAATAAAGGTCTAGTCCTTTCACACGCTTGAAGACACGGAAAGGGGTTCTTTATTGCTTACAACATAAGCTGGTTATATATATATTGTTTTTCCATATATCTGTTTATTCTTCAAAATACCTGTTCGTCCATATGTCTGTTTATTCTTCTTTAAGTCTTTGCTTCCATGTATCTATTAGTTTTTCCCTGTATCGGTGTGTTCTTGTATATCCGTTTGTTCTTGTATATATCTAATGGTTCTTGTTTGACAACTTCTTTTTGTATATATATATATGTCTATTCTTGCACATCACTGTTTGTTCTTCTATACATAAACGGTAAATGAAATCGCTTCGCCCTTCAAAGCTCTTCAGACACGATTCTAGACTCGTATCGTTTACAGGCCAATGGCACCCCGCAGGGGATGTGGTCAGCAGCACGACTGCCGCATTTGCTTCCTGTGATATCTTCTGGTACCTTTTAGAGGCTCGGTTAACCTAGAAGTCAAAGTTAATCTAAACCAGCCGGCCCGATAAAGGTGTAAACCAAAGACTACAGGCTCACAGAAGAAGAAGAAGAAGCAGAACATAATTTTTTTCCTCTGGGATAGTTAAGTCTATCTAGGTTAGTTGCGTGTCCTTTACAGGACGTTGCAGAACCAACCCCAACAACCCCTGGCTGTTGTCAGGGGCTGTTGTGTGGTTTTTCTAGGCATATCTACGTCAAGTAGTTTGCCATTTCTATTTGGACGGTCGGCTTTCTTGATACCACTGTCGAAATCAACGCAAAGGCGCATGCCCCGCAGCTGGGATCTTCTTCTTCTTCGCGTTCACCAGCTGTACACTCTGGCGGAAGGTTCTGGTTGCTCGTCCACTACTGAACTGCAGTCCTGCTCCAGAACCTGAGTGTTGCGTGTGCATCAGTTTTACAGATCTCATTCTCTTGAATACAGACTGTTGGTTCCTTGCTACTCCGGCAGATGCACTCAAACTTCAAAGGAAGCTCCCCAATTAGTCGACTCTTACGACATGCTTTTGGGGAGGCAGTGGGTCTATTCTTGTTTTCCCCTACAATGGGGCCCCGGAACCCACACGGGGGGCAGCTGGGATCGAACACGGCATGCCGGCATAACGAAGCGTTCGTATCGACTTAGCCACAGAGCCGACTTAGTCTTTCTGCAAGCTGAAAA